CTCGCCGCAACTGCCAATGCCAACCCCTCATCAGTGTGCCACTCCATCGCTCGCATCGTCTGCCCTGCCACTCTGCGCCTTCCCAGTGCATGCCCATGCATTTCACCTCTCCCTCCCTTCCCCCTATCCCCTGCTCCACCCCACCCCTCCCCTCTCCCAGCCCCCGGTCAAGCGTCCACCTCGCCACCTCTCCCGCCTGTCCCCATGCGCCTCCTCCTGCGGCCACGGGGTGCTGCCCTCCAACCCCCCTTCCGCCGCTGCTTCTCCACACCACCACAACCCTCACAGCGCAGCAGGCGCGGCCACAGAAGCAGACGCATCAGCGGGAGAGGGGAGGTTGGTGGCGGAGGTGGGGGGGGTGAGGAGCTGGCGCGATGTGGAGATGGCCATGCGTGTGGTGCCGGGGGTGCGCTCGGAGCACACAGGAGGGCAGGCAGGCAGTGCAATGGAAGGTGATGAATGCAGGGCAGTGGAGTGCGCACGGGGGAAGGGGAGGAATGGCCACAGGGTGGTGTGAATGGACGGGCACAGCCTGGTCATGCTTATCTGTGTGCACAGGAAAAGGGGGGAGGGGGAATGGGCAGGGTGGGTGTGTGGTGATGGTGTCCCACCTGTCCCCATCTTGTTCCCCTGGCGGGACCATTCACCATCGCATCCCTATGCATGACCCCCAAGCTTCACTGCGCCCTCCCTCGCCCGCCCTCCCCACAGAGGTGACCATTGGAGCGGCTCTTGCGGCGGCGCTGCCCCAGCTCGCCTCGTGCTTCGCCCCCCTGCCTGTGCGTGGCATGCCCCAAATGCCCGCTGCTGCTCAGGGCAGTGCAGCAGGCAGTGCAGCGGCGGATGATGGGGCAATTGGAGGGGAGAGGGACGAAGGAGAAGAGAGCAGTGAGCGAGAGCAGCAAGGCGCAGGGAGGGAGCTTGTAGATGCTCAGCAAGGGCAGTCGGTGCAGCGAGCAGCAGAGGGGGAGGGTAGGGCTGCTGCTGCCAGTGCTCCAGGTGGTGGTGGTGTGAGTGGCGATGGGGATGGCAGCAGCAGTGGCGGTGAGGTGTGCTCGTGTGTGGTGGTGTGTCAGGGTGTGGTCATCCCGCCTCACACGCCCCTCTCATGGCTTGCACACAACATGCTTGCGCCTGACCTCTTTCTACACATCTGCCTGCTGCTGCCATAGCCGCCGCGCCCCTGTACAGTCCTGTAGCATGCCACCACTCGTCAAGCTCATGGGGAAAGAGTGTTAACCACGTTTAAAATAACTACTGTACAGAACGAGTAGGAAAATTGTTTCTTTTTTTAGTACCGTATATGCATTTGTAATCAATTATTCGTCGGTGAAATATAGAGACTGTTTTGTACGTGCATTTTCTACTCCAAAGTATGAATGAAAAGGGAAACAAATGAAAAGGGAAAAACAGACATACCGTCACCCCCCGGATAAGCCCCCATGGGGGGCTATAATAAAACATGTTTTTTTAGGGGGGTGGGGTTATAATTGAGTAAAATTATAAGCGCCGGCGTTAATGTTATGTCAAAATTGAAATTCATTTTTTTAGATATGAAATCGAAGCATTTTGAAAGGCGGATTCACCTGAGTCGAGAACGTTCGACACTGTGCATGTGATCCGCGTGAAAAGGCCAACAAGGCGTGGCTTCACGCCTTGTTGGCCAGGCCAGGTTCATCGAACGTGAACCTGGCCCATGCCAGCGCACACGCACTTCGCATCACGACTGCCCAATCAGGGCTGCATGCGGTCCAGGGCACGCCATGGTTCAGCCACGACGTGCCCATCTAGAGCACGATTCCCTTCCACCGAGGCAACGAGCTGACCAACTCAGCTCCTCTGCGGGGAATCTTGACTGTGGCCACCCACTCCCCGCAGAGGAGGCCGGGCCGCGAAACTCGACGGGTCTCGGGCGAGGGCTTCATACGGCCCTCATTCTCAACTTTCAACTCACTTTTCTCCCTTCGTTTGGCCTGCCGTGGCCATGGCGGGCCTTCCAGGCACTCATTTCTTGTTCCGCCGCCAACCAGCTGCTAGAGAAAATAGTGGCAACCGTGACTACCTGCAATGGCAGAGCCGCCCTGCGGCCGTCCCTCCAACACACCCAGTAGTGCCTCCCGTTCCTCCCACTCCTCCAACGCCTCCTAATCCTCCCGCTCCCCCGGCGCCTCCTACTCCTCCCGCTCCTCTGTCCCCTCCTGACCCGCCTGTTGTCGGTGTTCCGCGTCAGGGGGTTCTGCAGCTTCTCCTCCCCCGTGGCTACTCAGGAGGTTTGACAAAGCACGAGCCACGGGAAATTGGTTGACCATTCCCGTTTGTACTTCATCAGCGCCTCCTGGTATTTATCCTCTGCCTCATCGCGCAGTTCTTCAGTGGACGAAGATGCTGCAGGAACGGCCGATGGTCCTGGTATTGCTGGCTCTACGCGGATACGCGCTTAGGGTTCCGTAGGACTGTCGCGAGAGAAGGACAAGCGCGACTGTTTGTAGTTTGACGATCGGTAGGGCCGATGCGTGTCGCACCAGGTGGTAAAACATTGGTGTCGTTCGTACTAGCACGGGCTGGTGTGACTGCGTGAGTTCGAGATGGACTAGCAGCAGGTGAAACTGTCGGTAAAGTGGACACAGCTCGGCCAGGACGCAAGAAGTCTAATCTGGTTAGACCCCGTGATTCTGGCGCCGCGAGATCGTCCTCGTTGGCCATGACTAGTGCGAGTGAGCCAGCCGAGTTACCGATGCTGCTACTCTAACAGCAACACTGGAAGGGTGTTGGTTGGAGGAGGCTCAACATCAGAGAGAGAGACACCCAGCTAGTGCATGCATGGCACACGACGAGACGAGAGTGTTGCCTTGCTTCCCAATCTGATGGGTTTGGCTGGTGCATTGCGGGGAATCCCCAAACTGTCAAAGGAATCGTGCGAACGCGGAAAAAAGGCACAAGGAAAAAAATAATAGGGGAAAAAAATACCGGGGAAAAAAATACCGGGGAAAAAAGTCCAAGGAAACGGGAACCCCCCCTCCCCTCCCCCCCCTCAAAAAACGCGTCAGAGCAAGCCTCAACATTCATCCTGACGCTACAGGGAAGAACACCACGGCCATCCTGAATGTTCAGGGCATTTCATATAACAACATCCTGAGACCACTGGGCTAAAATTGACACTATTCTGAAATTACAGGGCAAATTCAAAACTGCATCCTGATTTCAGGGTAATCAGGGTGTTTTTCCCTGATAAAGTGGGGCCTGGTCGTGTGCGCAATGGTAGGAGGGGAGGGGAGGGAGGGGCGCGCTACTGTACTACCGTAGGAATGTAGGAGCTAGGGGCGTTCGGCTAGTGGCTTAGGAACTATAGCGTGATGCAGTATCCAAGTAGCTTATCAGAATGTAGAGTTTACTAAGGGGTGGGGTTCAACTAGGAGTGTTGAGCAAAATGATAAGAACCTCACTATAGCCTAGAATATCTAACTATGATATATATATTTTGACACTTATATCGTACACTTTCGATCATAAAAAAACCCCTTGACGTGCAGACGGGTTTAGACCAGGGCACTTGCTAGGATTTGGAGCATCCTGGCCTCAGGGCAACTCTGCAAAATGTAAAAAACATGCCCTGGTTTGTACTGGGCAAATTTTCTAAGCCATCGTGGCGTTTCAGGGCTTTAGCATAAACTAAATATGACCTCTTAGGGCAAAAAAACGATTGTTTAGGGTCCTGATTTTAGCACTTTTAACTAGGCCTTTGTACTGATTTAGTGTCGTAGTGTCACTTGCTTGTCCAGATCCAGACCAAACCACCAAACCAAGTGTGGGAAGTTAAACTACTAAATCAATACTTATTCTTCCTCCTAAGTTCTGACCTAGCCCTCCTCCTAGGGCTTACCGTCTCCCCCCATTTTTTTAGCGAGTGCACTTATAACCGAGGTTTTTTTATAAGCGTCGGTGTTAATAAAATGACATTAATGAAATTTTGTTTTCTTTTTACACCAAAATGTAGATCTCCTCGTGCCGATCGTAATCGAGCTAAAAATATCAAGGGTCGCAAATTTGAATCTCGCGCAACTTGGCAGGGATTGATTCCCTGCCAACACATGTTGACAAAATGACAGCACATGATGACTAGACGCGCAGCGAATAAAAAAACCGAGGCTGGACTTTGTAACCCCGCGAAGGTGAAATTCGTTTCAGAATTTTGACAGGTTTTCAAATAAAAAATCAACTTGCGCTTATAATAAATCCTACTTTTTTAGGAGGTGTGTATATAGTCGAGGACCGGATATAGGCATGCGCTTATATTCGGGGGGAGAAGGTACTTTTCTTTTTTATGTACTCATTACGAGAGGTGTTGTACTTTTGAAATCCCATATTTTCAGTATACCTCGTGATGATTATCTTTAATCGTCTGGGGAATCGATGTTTCAAGGAAAATAATACTTTTATGCCACAGTGTACATTTTTCCGTTACCCTGGTAAGGGTTTAGGTTTTGTTGGTTGGTACTATATTGACCAAGGTAGAGACGCGCTTCCCAGTGGGCTAGTGGGCGCCGACAGTCTGCACCCAGCCGAGTAAACGTTCCCTACTGTATGTGTTGGCAGGTGAAGACAAGAAGACAATCAGAATTTACGTGGTGGCAAGTTTGTAACTATAAAACCGACCAATCGGAAGTATCACAGCTGCCAACACACGTATAGGACTGGCAAAGTTTTAGGAAATCACACTTCGGGGAAATCCTAATCCAAGAGAAAAAAAAATAGGGACACGTGTAACTATAAAAAATGACCCTCATAATCAGTGTATCAGGGTAAATGACAAGATATTTTTTCCCCTGTCCTCCTCCTCATCACCAGAGCTGCTGCTAAACCCACTGTTGTTACTGCTGCTGCTACCATGTTCGGAATCTGCCTCTTGTCTGTCCTCGAACACTTTATCCTTCCCCTTTGCACTCACTGGTCTACATCTCCCGTCTCCTGTTAGGCCTCCTCTTCATACTTCTGCGCCATAGAACCATCGCTTTACCCCATTCGATGTCATAATCAACCAGGCTCAGGCACATCAAATCACTGAGCCTGGCATCACAGAGATTGGTGACTTAATCATGTTATGGCGGCTGAAGCCGCGCTCACACTCGACGGTGCTGAGCGGCAGGACAGCCACCGCTGTCCAGAGGCGGACTAGGTTGGGGTAGCTCCGCTCCCAGTCCCTCGTTCGCAGCATAGCCGCCAGGCCACGTTGAAATCTGCGCTCGCCTCAAGGACTGCCATGCAGGACAGGGACAAATGTCCTCAGTTCTTTCTTGGCAGCTCGCTTTTCCACAATGCAAGATAGGTTCTGGTTAGGCACAGAAAGGAAACAATGCCTAGTATTGAAAAAGGACAGAATGGGTAAGGCGGTATAGCGATGCTTACCTGGGAGAATGTTTGTTCGCTCGCGGGCATGGAACAAGTCGATGAGAGTCTCGAAGTTGTCGAGGCACTGCTCATCGCGTGCCTCCCTGCGTGGAGGGTAGGTGTCTGGCATGAACAGCCTAATTATCGAGATCCCCCGGCCTCGTCTGGAGGTTGCTGATCGTTGCCTTGGCGTGTGCACGGCTGATGTCGAGACAGGACTGCAAGATTGCCCGGGGACTTGCTGCAGCCGCCGCAACGTGTAGCTCATAGCTATGTTGTCGCGACCGCCCCTCCCCATCCACCATCCACCGTGATGCGGCGGCCCTTGTTGAGCTTGGCGAGGAACTCCGAGAGATGTTGTTGAAGGTTGCCACCGAAGTCATCACCACACTCGATGTATTGTGCACGGATGGTGATCATAGTGCGGCGCAGCATCGACTGGACCGAAGTCATGTCGACCTGCCTCATGACACGGTACAGTTTCAACAAGGACCGTGTGACAGTGCTTAGGGTCTGCGGCGTTCAGTGGCAACTCACCTCCCGCTTCTGAAACTCCAAGTTGAGGTTGTTGAGGCGGCTGACCATGTCGGCGAGGTAATAAAGAAGCACATTGAACTTCAGTGAAGTCACAATGCTGTACATTTATTCGTCCCACTCCCACAGAAGCACGATGACGGCAGGGAGCACACGCACCAAGCGTGTGATGGCATTGCCGCGGCTCGGCCATCGAACTGCGTGCATTCCCTGCAATTCGATGTTAGTCTTGCAGAAAACCTCCTGCAACTCC